GCCCGGTCCCCAGGCTGCTGGCCCTGATTGGCACCCCTTACCTCATTCAGGGGTGGGGCAAGCTGGCCCACCACCCACAGCCCCTCCCCATGTCCAGCCCCACCCCCAATCAGCCCCCCCACCCTAATCGGGGGTGGGCCCACCAGCCAATCGACTGAGGCCCTTTCCCCCAGCTGGCCTAGCTCTGATCACCCCAATCAGGGCAGGCCAGCCAACCTCCCGCCATCTCCTCCTCCCAACAGGCTCAGCCCTGATCCACCCAATCGGGGCCAGGCCAGCCGGACCCCACCCATGCGTGAATTCATGCACTGGGCCTCTAGTACAATATAAAACACATGAGCAAAAATATTATATATATGCACATACAGTACAAAGACATAAATAAGGAACTTTATTGTATCTTTCTATTTTATCTATTTGAAATACTGATTATACAGTATAAATAATTCTTTTAAATATTAAATGATGGTCTTTCAGAGTAACCAATGAAATTACTCTTGGACTTTAGGTATCAACCTTGACACTACTAGCTCTCCCTCATCCATAACCATCCAGTAAGTCACCAGTTTCTGTGGATAAACTACCTTTATCATATTACACATACACACATCTATGTTTCAGTCTTGTTAGATAAATCCCCAAACTGGGATTGCTTTCCTTCCACAGTGCTCACTATCCAGTGCTTGGCAAGACTGGCTGCTTTGTCCTTTGAGAGTCACAGAGAGAACCCAGGTCAGAGTGAGCAAGTGCATAGGCAGTGAGTTTTTAAAAAACTTTTTAAAAATTTATTTTGAGAGAGAGAGAGAGAGAGAGAGAGAGAGACCAATGTGAGAGAGAAGCGTTGCTTGGTCGCCTCCTGTACACACCCTGGCGGGGGGAGAAAAACCACAATCTATGTGTGTGCCCTGACCAAGAACCAAACCAGCAACCTTCCAGTGCACAGGACGACACCTGAGCCACTCTGGCTGGGCTAGGCACCGCCATTTTGTAACCAAATCATGGGCATTGATCCCTTTGCCGTCTTCTGTGGAGTCACTACTGACACTCACACTTACGGGGAGGACACACATTCACACCACACGAGGAAGTTGCAGACCATGGGAGTCACTGAGGAGGGAACTGGTGACCCGAGAGGTCCGTGCCTTGCCCAGAATCACAGACGGTCAGAATGCAGAGCCTGAGATAAACCCAGCTGTGTCCTCAAAGGGGAGTCCTAGGTGCCCCCAGGTTTCCTCAGGGCTCTGGAAAAGGCTGTGTTGGTGAAATCCTGTACAGACATGGAGATGGCATGGGGGAGACGGTGGGCATTTGCCAGCCTAGCCAGGCATTGGCCAGTATTTGTCTGAAAAGGAGCCCAGATTTGGAACCACAGATGTGCACCTCTGTTCATAACCCACCCAGGGTGGAGAGAACTGGGCTCCCTTTATACTGAGCTCACATTTAAGCAATTCTGAATCACACCCTCATTGGATAATTGGAAAGTTGAGGCACATAGACAGGCAGATGCTGCCCAGTGTACATGACATTCAGAGCCCAGAGTTCAGGAATGCTCAGGCCTTCCAGGCCAAGGCTCCCACCTCCCCACAGAGTTGGTCTGGAAATTAGAAATCCTGACACACTGGGCAGCTCCTGCCTGTTCCTCCCTCTGTGGGGGCCGTTTTGTTGTGGGATCCAGAAAGGGAGCTCTGGCACGTACACACACACCCACACACACACACACACTATGTGATGACCGTGGGTGGGATTAGAAGAAAAGCAGACACAGAGGAGGTGACAACAGGAAGGAAAAGAGGTTGGAGGCACTACCTACATGTGACTGTTCTCCTACTTTACAGCTCCTCCCCCACAGGAGCCTGAACAGCCCTAAGAAGCACTTGCTCCATAACCCACTGTGCAGGCAGGAGAGAGACGGGCCCTGACAGGCACAATGACTTATCCAGGATCAAGAAGAGGTAAGACTGAAGGGTTGAGTCTGAGCCCAGGTCTGACTCCT